GATTGATGAAGCTTAAGCTGCGCAAAACCAGTTAATATCATTGCACTTGGGAAATACCAGATTGTATGTAGAACGGCTCCCTCAAATGAATGTAGTTGAATTGATCTGAGATGGCTTCTAGAACAAAATCTATGTTGTGGAAACACTATATAAATTGTCCAGCTGATGCAGTACTCATTTACCAGTCCTGCAAAGTTAGTAAAATTGAAAGTGAATCCAATATTTCAGCTGACTGACGCCAAGGGCACGCCTGTAGGAGTCGCGTCTGTGCAGTACATACCTGGATCTGGACATCCCGTCGTGTTGTCGTAGTAAGTTTCATGGTGCACTTTAAAAATGCTAATCAGATTTTGAATGCAATAACACAAGTGATTTTTTGTGGTCCGTCTCCCAAGTGTAGGTAGCTTCAAAAAAACAGAGGGATCTTTGGGACCATGTGAAATTTCGGTAAATCTATCGCACAGTTAAGCATATTCATAAGCGATTCTGATACGGAGCAGTTTGGCCATTTCTGTACTTGTGAAGCCAGCGCTTGTTAACAGGTGTGGTGGCATGGAGGCGAGAAGAGGGCATGTGCCATCCACCCTCACGGGTCACCACGCCCATAGTGAAGTGCTAGTCTTCATCACTACTCTCCATTGGGACTTCGGTCATTTCTTTTCTTAGAATAGCTTCAAGGGTGTGTATGTAAGGGATGTAGGGACCATATAAAGTTGCCATTTTGGGTTTGCCACTAGGGAGATTAAATAATATCCGCATTTTATTTCAGAATACAATAGTCGACAATGTTTCAGCCATCCACGTGCTGGTCCGCAACAAGGCAGTAGTCAACCGATTGCTTCACTCCAACCTTGTTCAACGTCGCCAACCACTCATGAAAGGGTAGCACACATCATCCCTATTCAACCAGGAACAGTGCCAACCCAAGCGCAGACAGTGATCGCCAACGTGCCAGCTCTAACCCAACCTCGTGTCGTTCAAGCCACCCAAGTCGTCCAGAAACAAAACGACAACACTTTCCGATTTGCTCAGATGGGTTCTGGCGGACAGGTAATACTACCGTTTTCTTAGTACCATTTGCAAAAAAGAACTGTATCGCAATTTGTTAACAAAATCTTTTTGAGAATTGTTCCACATTTATCCTCAGGCACGTAATTTTGAGCAATATTTTTAGTTTACCGTTGCACCAGCAAATGAGAGAACTCCAACTAAGGGCGTGCCAATGGTCATGAAAACCACAGGTAAGACGAATGTGGCCTTTTATTGATTCATATTGATCATTGATATTTTCTTGACATTTCTCTTGTTTTGTAGGCTTTGTGCCACGTGCCACGTGGGTTAACTACCTCTAAACTTGAAAATTATTATCGCATCACCAACTTCGGGCGGAAGTAATGTAGTGGCAAGTGGCGCCGCTTACCAAGTGCACAGTGCGGGTATCAAATCCTGGGTCGTGAGTCGCCCGGGCCAACCAAGCCTTCCATCCCTCCGGGGTGTACCAGACTTGTCTGGGAGGATAAAAACACTGACTTGTACATCGGCTGGCCCCGCAAGTCATTGTATAGGCCACATCGCATTCAAACGCCACTACGAATGTACAAATGGAAGTAGAATGCGTGCCGCATCCCAAAAAGGGATCTTAACGGCAAATGCTCTATCCTTTATCATTTCTTTGTCGATTTACCAGAAAGATTTGAGAGGTAAAGCAGTTAAAGGAAAACGCTAGACGCTGGCGCAATCTGTGTAATTTTTACAACGTGTTTTTAAGCCATAAAAATGACCCATATAAATTTTTTAAGTTTTGAAACTAACCAGAGGTTGGGTTCTTTTTTAACAAATACTGTTTTCGATCTTTTTAGCCCATCTCAACACAATATATACGCGTCAAACCGAAGCACAGCATAAGCTACGCATAATCCCGGCATTGAGTAGGTTTTTCTAAAAAAAAAGTCAAAATTGTTTTGACAGTTTCTTTTTAATGAAAGATTTATTGATTTTTAGGTCAACAGACCACACATAATGGACGACCCAGCACCATCAAACACATAGTATTAGTAGCTTCCCAACCTACTAAGATACTAATTCAAACTTCACTACTCAAACACTGTAGACATATTGTGAGTTATAATATTAACGTCCACTTCACACGCCTCATCCTCATCATGTGATCTCCGTTCAGAATCCAACCCAGACCACCGTGGTGCAAAACGGGTTCGCTAGTGAAAGCATGAACCCTTGGTGAGTTTTTTTTTTCACATTATCATTCACCAACATAATCAATAGGGAATGAATTTTAGCCTCCAAGATAGCCCTCGTACAGCTGATCTAGCAGGTGATTCACCACATATGCCAAATAGCGGGCAGTCTGAGACTGTTGCTGAGACAGGAGACGGTACTATGGAGAACCCGATCACGTTTGATGACCCGTCATCTATGTACGCGGCACGACTTTTTTGATTATCGGATTGTTCAATAGGTCCATCCTCATGTTTCAGCTTGACACCAGCTGCGCTATCTATGCATGAAGAAATGCTACGCGCTCAACAAAAGAAAATCGAGATGTTGCTGGAGGAGTTGGCAAAGAGTCAAGCGCATTTGAAACAAGAGCAGCAGCTCATTCTCACAGCTAAAAAAGCGCAGGTTAGTTATTGAGACGTTTGTGTCACCATTATACATGTGATTGACGAGAGTAAACTTAAAGGTATTGCTTAGTGGGGTTAGCTTATTTCTAGTCTGAACGCCTTCCCTATCCCGATTATTCTTGGGCGAACTCTTTCCGCTTTCGTTGCTGAATCTTTCAAAATACAGAAGAATGTGGAGTTGACTCTGCCTGTCGCATTTTTCTGTACTCTAGGCTATCTATAGGGTGAACATCGCGTCGAGGACTAGCCGCGGCATTACGCCGCCGGATCTCTCCAAAGGAGGCCCCACGCTCCGTTTCGCGAAGATGTCAACGGTAGCCGTTAAACCTGGTTCAACCTGACACACTCCAGCTCCGCCCCCAAATTTCACCGGAACTCCTGCCAAGAGAAACGGTGTTCTAACTGCTAAAACAGCAAATTTTATTTCTTGCGCGGTGCTTCCTTTTTCCACCTATCCTCCATTGCCCCATCTTCCACTCTCCAAAAATTCTGGACACGACAATTTCTTACCCCACTAAGGAAGATATGAACTTTTGTCGAGGAACCCCTCACTGTTGTTCACCCTAGCTATCAGTGCCTTTCTAATGTAATAGTTTTTTCTTTGGCCTTACTGGTTTTGTGCCAGGTTAATGCTTCCATTTACCGACTTTACATCTCAAATCTTGTATTTTTTATTTACATTTCCACTTCAATCGGCTAAGAATCTAATTTACTCATACTTCCTCTTGCGCATCACTTTTTTTCATGTTGTAACTGAAATAGTAGACTGGGTGATCAAATTTAAAGACAATGTTGCTAAGTTAGCGATTTCAGCAGCGGCTTCGTGAACAACAACGAGAGAACGCAACGAATCGAGAAAGAGAGCAGTGGCTAAGAGAATTGGATGTTGGTCACATTAATAAACAACATATTCAGCACTTTCTACAACACAAAAAACAACAAGCAACACTTCAGGTACGCGAAATGTACACATGCCGTTTATTTTAGTTTTTAATAATAATTCGTAGAACCTGTCTCCGAATTCCAATTCCCACTAGAGAAATGAAAAAGTTGATGAATTCATATGGACCTGAATTCCGTAGCAGTGTTAAGAGTGGCTTAAAGGAATCTTCCGCGGAAAAAGCTCCGCCTCCATTACCCTACAAAAAAACGATACCTTAGGCCCCTAGCCTCATGAGCATAGCAAAAAGAAGGAACATAAG